CAGATCCTGCGCAGATTGCAGCAGAACGAGCGCTTACCTGAACGGAGTCGCCAGCGGCTCCGGCTGCGAGAATACGGTCTCCAGGGTCTCATCGCCTGCCTGCCGGAGGGGGCTGCTTCGCCCCAGCTCTGCCAGGGCCTCTACAAGCTATTCCTGGGGGCAGGTATATATCTCAGTTGGGGCCAAGAGGCAGGCCAGGCGGAAGGGTGTGATGGATTCAGGAAACAGGGCAGGTGGACATAGGAAAGGTGTTGGTACAGGGGTCAAGGCTGGGCCAGTAGGGCTGGGGTCAATCCCTCAGAGCCTTCCTGGGGTCAGTCCCTCAGAGTCTCTCTGGCCATCTTCCCAGATTGCCTGAACCTCTCAGATCTGTTGGCTGTGGTGCAGCTGTCCCTCCAGGCTGACCTCGGCGTCCGCCTGGACGTTTGTCGCCAGGTAAGTATGGGAAGTGAAAGCTTGCGGAAGAGGGGGCTTCTACCCTGGGGGCTTCGCTTTACCTTCCTGTGAGGAGCGCTCTCTGGAGGCCTCCCCCCTGCGAAGGCCCTAGGACGGGAGTCTGGGGGGGCAGACTGCTGGATGAGTCTCTCACTTGTTGTGCCCTGGCCCGGCAGCTTTTCCACCTCATCCACGGACAGCCAGACGTAGTGCAGCTGCTGGCCCGGCAGGCCGGCTGGCAGGACGTGCTGACCCGGCTGTACGTCCTGGAGGCTGCCACAGCTGGCAATCCCCTGCCCTTTCCCCCAGAGACACCCACATCCCCAGAGCCAGCCTTATGCAAGCCACCCACTGAATCACCTGAGTCTTCGGATGTCTTCCTGCCCTCGGAAACCCCCAGCCCCGACCCTGACAGCTTTTACCACGCTCTCTCTCCATTTTGTACACCCTTTGACCTGGGCCTGGAACGGGCCAGCGTGGGTTCGTGCAACAATGCGGGCAGTGGCAGTGGCAGTGGGACTCTTACTCCGGCCAGCCAGCCTGGCACACCTTCCCCACTGGATGGGCCCCGGCCCTTCCCTGTGGCCCATGGCCGCCATAGCTCTAGTCTCTCCAACGTGCTGGAGGACGGCAGCCTCCCGGAACCCGCCATCAGTGGGGATGATACCTCAAATACCAGCAATCCACAGGTGAGGCGGGTCCGCTCTCTGCCACTGCGGCACTCTAAGGGACACCTCTGGGACACAGGGCAGGCAGTATAGATTTTCCAGAGGTGGGGTCTTGTCTGACATCAGGGCTATAGGTGCTGGTCAGCCCTGGTGCTGCGGCCTCATTGCTGTCATCTGCAGTTGTGTTCCCAGGGTAGGGGGTCCTAGAACGGGACAGATGATGCTGAGCCAGAGTGGAGGCGCCAGCCAGGCTTTGGAAAGTCCTCAAGAGAGCCTGTAGGGCAGACACTTCACAGGGCCTGTGGGCATTATAGTTCTAAGGAATCTGCCTTGTGTTTCCAGGTTTGGGCATGAGTCTCTGCTTATTCTATGGCATTCCTCCAGAGAATTCCAGTATGGTTCTTGGGCCTGAGATTGCTGTGGGGCAATTTGTGAGCCAGCTCATCTGTTCTTAGGAGTCCTTGAAACCCCAGGATTCTGTCTAGAATATTCAGGTAGTGGCTAAGGCCCCTGCGCCATTCTTCCAGGCCCCAGGGTGTCTGCTGGCTGAATGCTCTGCCTCCAGCTGTCCCTACTAGTGGTCGGCAAGGCAAGGGGTGCTCAGCAGGGATAGTGTAGGAGCCAGCGCCTCCCTCCCACCCCCGCCCACACCCCCACATCCTTTTGTGCCCACAGCAAACCCCTGAGGAGGAGTTGTGCAACCTGCTCACCAACGTGCTGTTCTCGGTGGCGTGGCGGGGCGTGGAAGGCAGCGATGAGGCCGCCTGGCGGGAGCGTGGCCAGGTCTTCTCGGTGCTCACCCAGCTGGGCGCCTCAGCCACGCTGGTGCGCCCGCCAGACTGCATCAAGCGCAGGTGAGGAGACAGCTTGGCAGGGCAAGGGGCCTCTGGGACGCCTGAGGGGAAGGAAGACAGCCAGGCGGACACCTGAGTCCCTTGCCCACCCCCAGCCTCCTGGAGATGATGCTGGAGTCAGCCCTGACCGACATCAAAGAGGCCCCTGCTGGGGTCCTGGCCAGCCTCACCCAGCAGGCGCTTTGGCTGCTGCGCCTGCTGCAGGACTTCCTGTGCGCCGAGGGTCACGGTAATCAGGAGCTGTGGAGTGAGAAGGTGCGACAGCTCAGGGGCCTGTGAGGGCCACATGAGTCCGTGTGTTCACAGGAGCCTGCAGGCATCCGGCGTGGGAGGTGGGCGAGTGCACATGTGCACTCACGGGTGCGTCAGAATGGTGTGTGTGTGTGCAAACCCTACCTGGCCCCCAGACTTAAACCCTACCTTGCTCCCTCCCGGTGGGCTTCTGGCCTCCTCTGGTGGCGGCTGCCTGGAATGTGTTGGGCTGTAGCTCTTTGAAGGCGTGTGCAACCTGCTGGATCGCATGGGAGCCTGGCCACACCTGGCCAATGGCACAGCAGATCTGCGAGAGATGGCACAGATTGGCCTGCGCCTGGTGCTTGGCTACATCCTGCTGGAGGACCCGCAGGTGAGCACGGGGTGGGTTGGGGTCTGGCAGCGGCAGGCGTAGGGAACCCGGGGTGTGCCTGGACACCACCCACACCTGCTGCCGCCCACAGCTGCACGCCCAGGCCTATGTGAAGCTGCACTCGCTCCTGCAGACAGCGGTGCCCATGCGGCGCGAGGAGGCCTGCTACGTGCTCTCCAAGCTGGAGTCGGCGCTGGCGCGGGCGCTCAACACCCCCACCTCAGAAACGCCCACCGAGGAAAGGGAGCCCTCAGCTGCAGTTGCAGCTGCCGCAGGCACGGAACGCTGCTCGTGGCTGGTGCCACTGGTGCGCACGCTGCTGGACCGTGCCTATGGGCCGCTGGGGCTCCAGTGGGGGCTGCCTTCCCTGCCGCCCACCAACGGCAGCCCCACCTTCTTCGAGGACTTTCAGGCCTTTTGTGCCACACTTGAATGGCGCCACTTCATCGACAAGCAGGTATTTGGAGGTGGGGGCCAGGGAAGAGAAATGGGGGGCTGGGAACCCACGTAAAGCACTGGTGTCCTCTCCCTGCCCAATCCTTCAGGTGCAGCCCACCATGTCGCAGTTCGAAATGGACACCTACGCGAAGAGCCACGACCTCATGTCGGGCTTCTGGAATGCCTGCTACGACACGCTCATGAGTAGTGGACAGCGGCGCCAGAGGGAGCGGGCACATAGTCGTCGGGCTTTCCAGGTGTGCAGCCCGGGGCGGGGGTGGGGAGCTGCTCCACTCCTGTGCCCAGAGGATAGCTGGTGGGACAGCGTGAAGAAACCCGACGGGACAGGAAGCCGCCGGCGGGACTGACCCATTCCTCCACCCCCACTCCCCAGGAGCTGGTGCTGGAACCAGCACAGAGACGGGCACGCCTGGAAGGGCTGCGTTACGCGGCGGCACTGAAGCAGCAGGCAGCGCAGCACTCCACGGCTCTGCTCCACTGGGGGGCGCTGTGGCGCCAGCTCTCCAGCCCCTGTGGGGCCTGGGCCCTTAGGTGGGCGGGGCTCGGGTGGAGGCCGGGAGGGGCGGGGCGGGGCTCCGGGAGGGACCTGGACAGCGAGACTGCGTTTGGGGTGAGGCCTGGGAGGAATAGGGACTTCTACAGTCTTCTGTGCGCACCCATGACCACCATCCGGGACGTATCTGCAGGGACCCACCGCTTCCCCGCTGGAAGTTGTCCAGTGCCGAGACATACTCGCGCATGCGTCTGAAGCTAGTGCCCAACCATCACTTCAACCCTCATTTGGAAGCTAGCGCCCTGCGGGACAACCTGGGTGAGAGAGGGTGTCCTGAGCTGGATCTGCTCAACCTCAAAAGCCCTGCCCCGCCCAGCTCTTGCTGAGCACCCTTGGGCCTGTTGCAGGTGAGGCCCCCCTGACACCTACCGAGGAGGCCTCGCTACCTCTAGCGGTCACCAAGGAGGCCAAAGTCAGCACGCTGCCAGAGGAGCTTCCGGAAGACCAGCTCGGCGAAGATGAGCTGGCTGCGCTGGAGACCGCGTGAGTGGGGCTTGGAGAGAGCTGACCAGGAGTGGGGGCAGGGGTCTGTGCCAGGGCTAAACACCCCGAACGGGCTGTCCAAAATCAGGTGGGGGGTTGGGGAGAGCTGTCTAGAAGAATCGAGAGTGACTCTTTCGTAACTAGACACCCCCAGGCAGGACTGAGACACACAAACCAGACCAGCATGGGGGCCCCCAGAACAGGGGGAGCCAGGGGTGGGAGTTGGTGTCATGGCCAGACATTTAGGGGCTCTGGTTTGGGGTGGGGACTGGGGTCAGTGGGCACTGGACCCCGGACAGTTCCTCCCTCTCCTCTGGGAAGCATGAGAGTATGTTCCTCATGACGTGATGGCACTTGGAGAGTCTGGTCCTTGGGCTTATTCGGAAGGGGGGGGGGGTGGTCCTAGAGCCTTGAGCCTGAACCAGGTGCTGGCCCCCAGGATGCAGGCAGCAGAACTGGACGAGCAGCATGAGAAGCTGGTGCTGTCAGCGGAGTGCCAGCTGGTCACAGTGGTGGCTGTAATCCCAGGGCTGTTGGAGATCACCACACAGCACGTGTACTTCTACGATGGCAGCGCAGAGCGTGTGGAAACTGAGGAGGGTGTGTCCTATTGGAGCTGGTTAGAAGGGCGTCAGGGGATGGCTTGCCTCTGGCGGGGCAAGGGTGAGTGACTCCTGCCCCTGATGTCTGTCTGCACAGGCATCGGCCACGACTTCCGGCGCCCGCTCGCCCAGCTGCGTGAAGTCCACCTGCGGCGTTTCAACCTGCGCCGCTCAGCCCTTGAGCTCTTCTTCATCGATCAGGCCAACTACTTCCTCAACTTCCCGTGCAAGGTGGGCGGGACCACAGCCTCATCTCCTTGGCAGGCCCCCAGGCCCCAACCCTGCCTCATCCCACCCCACACCCAGGTACGGAACCAGGTGTACTCGTGGCTCCAGCGCCTGCGCCCCCCAGCCCAAGGCTACCTAAGCAGCCGCTCCCCCCAGGAGATGCTGCGTGCCTCTGGCCTCACCCAGGTGAGAGGCCTCAAGTGTGGGGGGCGGGCAAGGTCAGAGCCCTGCGGTTGGGAGGAGAGCCGGACAGCCCAGCTGGCTCACCTCTTGCCTGCCCCTGCCCCCCAGAAATGGGTACAGCGTGAGATATCCAACTTCGAATACTTGATGCAACTCAACACCATTGCAGGGCGGACCTACAACGACCTGTCTCAGTACCCTGTGGTGAGGGTCCACTCCTTACCTCCACCCCTACCCCTCTGGTCTGCCAGCCCTGGTTTGCCCCAGTGTAGGTGCTGTGGGGGCGGGGCGGGGGGCGGTGCCGCCTGACAGCTGGCTTCTGTTCCCTGCCCCTCCTCCCGACATACCCACACCCACTCTCCACCCTCCCCCGCTGGCCTCTCTTCTCCCTGAAGGGAATCCTGTTTATGGACTGTCTGTCCTGCTTCCCTGGGGTCCCTCTAAGTGGTGTGCCCCTACCTGGGGGCTCTGCCCATCTTCCTGAGGGTGAGGGTGGGGCAGGCTGGGCAGATAGGCCATCAGGACCCTCATGCAGCTCCTTCCCTGGGTGGGTGGCCAGTTCCCCTGGGTCCTGCAGGACTACGTGTCCCCAACTTTGGACCTCAGCAACCCGGCCGTCTTCCGGGACCTGTCCAAGCCCATCGGTGTGGTGAACCCCAAGCATGCCCAGCTCGTGAGGGAGAAGTGAGCGTGTGGGCAAGACCGGGCTTGGGGGCTGGGATGGGCCAGGGCAGGGCTTCTGCTGACTCTCCCGCTACCCTCGGCTGCAGGTACGAGAGCTTCGAGGACCCTGCGGGCACCATCGACAAGTTCCACTATGGCACCCACTATTCCAATGCGGCGGGCGTGATGCACTACCTCATCCGCGTGGAACCCTTCACCTCCCTGCACGTCCAGCTGCAGAGTGGCCGGTGCGGCCCGGGGGGTGGCTGGCAGGTGGTAGGGGTGAGGGTGGCTTGCTGCAGATGGGGGGAAGAGGCAGGTCCTCCAGGTATCCTGGGCCCTTCGGCTCCCTTCCTTTCCCCAGCTTCACGCTCGCCCTCCCTGTCCCCACCCTCCCCACCTCACTTTGGCCTGTGCCCCTCCCCCAGCTTTGACTGCTCCGACCGGCAGTTCCACTCAGTGGCGGCAGCCTGGCAGGCCCGCCTGGAGAGCCCCGCCGACGTGAAGGAGCTCATCCCAGAGTTCTTCTACTTCCCCGACTTCCTGGAGAACCAGAACGGTAAGAGCTGGTGCGGGGCCGGGAGGCCTGGGCACGTAGCTCGCAGGCTGGGGGTGGCCAGGGAGCAGGTGACCGTGAGACAGCTGACCTCCCTGCCAGGCTTCGACCTGGGCTGCCTCCAGCTGACCAACGAGAAGGTGGGCGATGTGGTGCTGCCGCCATGGGCCAGCTCTCCTGAGGACTTCATCCAGCAGCACCGCCAGGCTCTGGTGAGGAGAGGAACACAGGCGGACAGCCAGGGTTGAGGGTCAGGGGTGGGGGTGGGGGGTCAGCCGTCCCTGGACTGACTGGCTCCATCCCCGCCCCCAGGAGTCGGAGTATGTGTCTGCCCACCTGCACGAGTGGATTGACCTCATCTTTGGCTACAAGCAGCGGGGACCGGCCGCAGAGGAGGCCCTCAATGTCTTCTATTACTGCACCTATGAGGGTGGGCATGCGCTGGACTCAAGTGGGGGCTGGGGCACAGGAGAGGAGGGCTGAGGGCAGAGGGCAGAGAGGGAGCCCTGACTGCTCTGCCTACCTGCCCAGGGGCTGTGGACCTGGACCACGTGGCGGATGAGCGGGAACGGAAGGCTCTCGAGGGCATTATCAGTAATTTTGGGCAGACTCCCTGTCAGCTGCTAAAGGTAAGGCCAGCTTGGAGATTAATGGTCAGATATGGGGTGCCTGGGTGGCTCAGTCAGTTAAGCGTCCGACTTCGGCTCTCATGGTTCATGAGTTCGAGTCCCATGTCTGGCTCTGCACTGGCAGTGCGGAACCAGCCTGGAATTCTCTCTCTCTCTCTCTCTCTCTCTGCCCC